TATCTGAATCGAGAACCGATGAGTTTGGGTCGGATCTCGGGTCTAGACCAAAAACCGAAGAATCGAATAAGAACCGAAACTAAATAATTTTTTTATTTTTTATATTGAATTAATTAAATTATTTTATTTTTTTCTAAACAAATTAGCAAATTAATTAAATAAATCAGATTATTTCATAATTTTAATTTTAAAGCCCCAAATCATTTTAAAAGTCCATTAACCCATTTTAATTTGAAGTAATTGAATATACTTTATATAGTGTTGTTATAATATTAACATCTACTTTTTGGCATTTGTATGCATTGAATTAATCTTATTGGACGGTTAGTTATTTATATGTTTTTTAATTGAGCTACGTTAATTTGTAAAAGTTACGAATGAAATGTCATTAGTTGTATTTATGTAGTATTGCTGTAAATATTAAAAAATTTGCGAACCGACCCGAATGGAACCGAACCCGAATGGTTCCATAATTATATTTGGACCCGACGATTCTATTTATTAAATACCCGAAAGTTTTGGGTCAGTTCGAGTCTCTTTAGAACCGAATCGAACCGACTTACGGACAGTCCTATTGAAACCAGTCTCTCGTATAGGGTTTAAACTTGCGCTTTTTTATAATTTTGATAAGGCATTATTGCTTCACGAATAATATTCATAAGGCGAGTGGCGCGCTTGTACGTAGTATTGTTGTTAATGATCTAATTGTTGTAGATCTATTAGTATCTCGTAAGTGAACGTAGAGATTGAAAAAATTTATATTGTTTTCATAGCAAAAGAAAGGGGGAAGCGAAGTGAATGAAGTGAGGTATTTACGTAGCATTTCTTTATGACAAAGCTCACCTTAATTATATCTTCAGACAATGAATTAGTGTATAACTATCTTGTTTTTTCACCAACCTGGATTTCTTTCTTATTCTTTTAACGATACCATGGTGAAACTTTTTTTTATTATTATTTTAAAGAAAAATCAAAACATGTTAGTCAATTGATGATATCATTACTCAACTCATATAGATGAATAATCAATTCATTAAACCTTAATTAATCAAGAGATCCATTCATAATTGTCAAGAAAAGATGGCTAACAACTCTTAATTATTTCTAGAAACTCATTGTTACAAAAACTTGGATAGGATCGATCATATCATCAATTAGCCGCCAATCAACTTGTTACAATATCATTAGGATGACGCTATTTACATCCACGTTTTAATATATACATCCACTTCTAAAAGATAACTATATTATATTATTAATCTTATGTAAATTTACATAAACGGACACATATAAAATTAAATAAAAATATATCGTTCTAAATTCATCCACTTATATTTATTTTCATTAAATTCTTTTAAACCTTTTTATATTCTTTTAGAATTTGTGTTTAACTAAAATTCTAATAATCATAAAATATCATTTTCCACTAAAATCTTAAAACTCTAATAATCATCAAATATCATCTTCAACTGAAATTAAAACAACAAGACTAAAAGATGAAAGCTGTGACTTAATTCTAGATTTACTCTGTAGCTCATTGGAGAATATGGTCATTCAACAACCACAACAAATAATAAAAATCTTATTTATGTGAAAAGATAATCTACTTTAGGTTTTTAAATTAACTCTCGGCATTATGTTCAACCAAGAAGTTGCTTTTTCAGGGCGTGTGAGCATAAATTATAAGTATCAGTTGATGAAAATAACATATTCAACCTTCGTTGAGCACAATAGTTGAACCCTGCTATATTTTTTGCACACATTCTCATTCTAGGATTATACTTTATGTAAGTGTACAATAATAAGTCCATTGCACACATAAACAATGTGGAAGAATCTTTACATTACCTTAAGTTTCCATTGAGACATTAATTGCTAGATTTTCAGAGTTGTACTTGTGTATCTGGTTTTACACTGCTACATATCAGTTGATGACAAAGTGAATTTTATTTCAAAATTCATATATAAATTTTATTTTATTTAAAAATTATACATAGCCTCAAAATTTTTATTTTTATCGAATACAAAAATGAATATTTGTCAATCAAATATAATGGACCAATTCATGTGGCAAATAACACACCTACATGACATTTAATTTTATTTTGAATATAATATTTTGTCTATAGAATTAATTATTGAATGGTAAGAATGTTGATATTATAAGTAATGGGGATAAATTTAGTGATTTTTTTAAATTTTGAAATTGTATTGGGAATATATTTAGAGTGTGATTAATATATAAAATTTGCGTGGATATACAGTGTTTAAATTAATGAATTCAATAAGAAAAATATTGAAATGTCTATGGATAAAAATAGTAATTTTTTGAAATTTTAATATTTTAGTAGGAATGAATATAGAGCGTGATGAATATATAAAAACTATGCATGTAAATAGTCATACCCTATCATTATCGAATATATTATGATAATCCAACTTATCTATTAGTTTTTTTTTTTTTTAATTAAAACTACAAAAACAAGCATTCATTGGTTCAAACAGTTATCCATTAGTTGGACATTCGGCCAGGTTGATGGTGGGGTTGAACAACGAAACTGTCAAACTGCAACATCGAATTGAAATCGCCTGTTTGAAACTGTTGGTTTCATGGCTTGAGTCCACGTCGATGCGTCAACGTTTTAATTCTGAACAAAATCAAACCGCCTCAAAGGGGTTTGATTTAGGTTCAATATTTGCAAATCATTTCAAACTGCCAAATTATTTACTTAAAAAAAATCTGAAAATAAATTAATTTAAATTCTATCCAACCCGCTTAAGCCCCCGTTTGATAGACATTATTTTGAAAAAATAGAGTTTTGAATATTGATTTTTCGAAAAATGTATGGATAAAAAGTAGAGAATTATTTTGGATTTTTGTGCAAAATATTTTATTATGTAAATTTGTGGTTAAAAATAAACATGAGAATTAAAGAGTTGTTTGAAAGGGAGGCAAACATGGGCTAAACTCAATACCTAAATAGAAAATTATTATCCTAATTAATTAAATCATAATAAAATACCATCAGTCATCACAATTGTATATGCAAAACCCTCGAATTAGGTGAAGTGTTGAACAATTACTACTGAACCATATTCATTGACCGTCAATTACAATTGAATAAACAATTAAATCTAAATTTCAATTCAAACCCGTACATTTTTTCTCTCTACTAATAATTTTTTCGAATTTTGACTAAATCTTCAGGCCAAATGATGAAAAAAAAAATTTGGTATTTTTTGCTATATTTTATTAATAGCTGTGTTGCTTTGTTCTAATTTGTGTCAAATTTCCTTAAATATTTAGCGAACATCATTTTTTATTTGCGTCTCAAATTCCTAGTCAGGTCGCTCAATTAATTATTTATACTTTAACTTATTTTCTAGTGGATTACTTAAATGGTCATTTTTAATATTGGATCGATGAGCCTTTCGAAATATTACTTAGGTGGAAATAGAATGAAAATAAATACAAGATTGTCTGTGTTAGCTATTATTTACAGTTGTTTCTGAGTCTGTATTCCCTACTTTTGGCCTGATTCTTGATTCTTTTAGGAGGTCATTGAGTGCAAATATGGTCGAAGCAATGATTTGCCCTAAACATTGGTTGCATAGTAACAAAGAATCTATAGCTATTCATCGAAATTTGGATGAGTACAAACATTGGATGATTTGCAAAAAGTTATAGAATGTATTATTATATTTGATCTTTTTATTCATTTTCTTTTATTAGCTTTTTATATCATTCAACTATAATCAATGAATTCATGTGCTATATTATTATTTTTATAGAGAGAATGAATCAAGTGCTATAATTGTTGATGTTGCCCTAATTATTATCGACTAAGAGATTAAAATGTTTATATCATGTTGTTGCATTAAAATGATTAGAATTATAGAACATTGATTTATAATACTTTAAATGATATTATTAATATTTTAGTGTAAAATTTTAAACTAATATTTATGATTTAAGTTATTCGATAGTTATATTTTTTTCTTTGTTAAATCATGGTTTTAAACCGAATCATATCGATAAAAAGTAAATTGGATTGGTTTGGTTTAAAAACTGAAGTAGTTTGGTTTCATTTGGAAAAATTCCAAACCACTTTAAATGATTTGGTTTAAAATTTGTTACAATCCGTCCAAATCGAACTGTGTTCATTCCTAGTCGAGTCTCATAAATGTAGATAAGCGCAACCAATTACCGGCAAGATTTGAATTAGGACACATTCTTATCATAAACCTTCAATTAAATTAACACATAATATCCCTAGCGATGATTTTTTTTATACAAATATATATTCTAATGTATATTGCAATGAGGAAAAATTATTTTGGAGGGACATCATCATTTAAGACAAAATACGAATATTAATAAAAAGTTGAGGATACAAATATGATTAAAAAAAAAAGTTTAAGAATACAAGTTCAAAAATGAGGAAAGATTGAAAACGTATTTTAATAAAATTAACAAAAATTAGTGTAGATATTATTATCCTTTATTAAGGGCGTGTTCGATAGAGATTAAAATCGGATTAAAATTGAAAAACTAGTCGTTATTGTTGATTTTTATTAGACGAGTGGGATCCAATAACGATCATATTTTTAATTTTAATTGGATTTTAATCGGAAACAAACAGGCTCTAATTTTTCCAAAAAGGGGCTTTTTTCCCCTCTTGCCAAAAAAGGACATGGCGCACAAAACCCTCTAACTTATTTGACCTAGTTGGCAAAAGATATAGCCCATCAGTCAACATTCTTAAAAAATTCATTTTTTTAATACTCATTTTCAATCACACAATTTTTAATAAAATAATATTACACGTAAATTCAAAAAATTTCTTTTTTTTTAATCACATATTTTTCATCACATCACTATTTAAAATGTATTATTTCCTTAAAAATGTGCATCAAACGGCGCTAACGCAATGCTTATGTATGATTGGTGTCATTTACATTAAGGTTAGTATGATAGCAACATGCCAAAAGTCTTGACCTCGTGGTAAAGGGTATTAGAATCCATTGGCAATATTAAAGAAAACTATAGTTGGCATGTACCACATATGAATCATATAATACTCAATTATACTATTAATAAAGAAAACTATGGAAATTTTATTTAATATTTGTACAAAACATGTTTGATTTAAAAATAGAGAAGTAACACGTATCAAAAGTTATTGTATTCAAGTATTCTGTAATTGGTTTTAAATATTTGCAGTTTGGAACTTTGTTAGTTTACTTGGATAATTTGATATAGCAATTCTTTAGAAGTTTTTTTTTTCTTCTATATACTTAATTTGTCTTGTACATGGAGGAAAAGACAAAAAGAAGGATATATAAGACTGTGAATTGGTTCTCAATTTTTTTGGTCGAACTCGCCGATTCGATCCAATTTTAAAACCATTCGTGTAAATAGTTCACTCTACCTCGATTTGATTGAGGAAAGCGTATTGTGGATAGAATGGACTTCTCAAAACAACAATACTTGACATTTTGTATTATTATAGAACATGGATTTTGACAAAAATATTGAAACAAAACCATTTTCACATTTTCCTAGTTTGACAGACATGATTTAGATGGAACAAGATTTGTAAATTGAAGATGAAGACCTCCATCAGGATGACAAGAGGCTGATATCATTGTATGATTGGTCCATCAAGGAACAATTGGTCCCATTTTCAATTTCTCCCCACACCTCCAATAGCCTTCCCATTTTGTATCACTGCCCAACTAATTCAAATGTCCTTATAAATACACACATGATGTTACATTCAAATATAGAGTGAAAATTGGAGAAGTTTATATAAAAGAGCTGCAGCAGCTTCTCAATTCTTGTTGAATTTGAATCTAAACCCGACAAATACGAACGATGTCTGCATCGAGTCAAAACTCCTCTTTCGAGCAGCCAAGATTGGCAACTAAGAAAATCTTGGCCAGGCCTCAGAGTGAAGGTGTTGGAGCTGTTGTTAGAAGAAGCATTGGAAGGTATTATCCTAATCTTTCTGAAAATTTGTCATCTGGTATTCCGTGTTGGCTTAGATTCAATATTTGGAGCATTTAAAGCATGTATGATATGTTATGCATGCATGTTTCTCAGGCCAGAAATGAAGTACTTCGATCCTTTCCTCGTGTTGGACGAGTTTGCAGGTATGTACATAATTATCCACTTATAGCATGTTTGGTATGTTGGACTGAACAGCATGAGAAGACGTACTAATCTAATAATGGGTTTGGTCTTACAGTTTCACCTCCAGCTGGATTTCCCGACCATCCACATCGAGGTTCTATCTAGCACCCTTATTTGGAGCATATTTTTATTTAGATTGTGTTCCAGATTGATGAATCTTGTCTTAACAGGTTTTGAGACAGTTACATACATGTTGCAGGTAAATTTCCTAATTTTAAAACTCAAGCTTCAATTGTTGTGTATTGTTGGGAAAAGTTTGAATTGTTAAACTGACGAGTATAATCTTTTAGGGAGCCTTCACTCATCAAGATTTTGCTGGTCACATGGGTACAATACACACTGGTGATGTGCAGGTATATAGGAACTTTTACCTGTCATTCTTTCCCCTTTTCACGAACATGAACACGATAAGAGTTTTCTTGCTTGGGGTCGTGTAGTGGATGACTGCAGGGAGGGGTATTATTCACTCGGAAATGCCGGCTGGAGAAGGAATTCAAAGAGGTTTGCAATTGTGGATAAATCTCTCTTCCAACGACAAAATGTAAGCTACCCTATTTGGATTTTGATTCTTTTCTGTTTGAATGATGCAAAACCAATAAAACTACTTTGTTATCCTGCAGGATTGAACCAAGGTATCAAGAACTGCAGGATGAGGACATTCCAAGGGCACAGAAAGATGGAGTTGAGGTCAAAGTCATTGCAGGGGAAGCTATGGGGATTCATTCACCTGTATATACTCGAACTCCTACTATGTACCTTGATTTCACCCTAAAACCTCACTCTCAATATCATCAATGCATCCCAGAATCATGGAATGCTTTTGTGTACATAATTGAAGGCGAAGGGGTGTTCGGCTCCCACAACTTACCAGCCACGACAGCTCACCATCTATTGATTTTGAGTCTGGGAGATGGCCTAAGTGTATGGAACAAGTCTTCTTCGAAGCTATTGAGATTTATTTTGGTAGGTGGGCAGCCACTCAACGAACCAGTAGTTCAGCACGGTCCATTCGTGATGAACACACAAGACGAAATTGATAAGACTGTAGAAGACTATTGTTATTGCAAGAATGGGTTTGAGATGGCAAGATTTTGGAGATCTCAATGAGTGTAAAGCACCACCAGCATCAAAGAAAAATTCCAACCCTCCAACAACAAAGTCTAAAAGAAAAAACAAGTCCCTACCTTTATCTATCACTGTCAATCTTTATCTTCATCAAAATAAGCTATTATGGAAAAATATTAGGAAGATATCTTACTCATGGAAGCAAAAAAGCTTCTAGAAACCAAAATGCAGCTACAACTATTTGATGGGGTCAACTCAAGTTAGTTGGTTTTACCTTTTCAGAAGTTTTAACAATTAGTACTATATTTTCTGTGTTGATAGGTTGTGATTTAGAATTTGATTCTTGCTTTTAATATATTTTCCTTTTTTGTGCTTATCAAAAAAAATATTTTCCTTTTTTGTTATCTGCCTATGTAAAAAGGAGGAGAGTGGTACTACATAACCACACTTTGTCAAATCTTACAACATAAATCCTAGGTTGCTTTAAATTTTCTTCTAATTAAGAGATACACGAATAGAGTGACGGAAAAGAATGTTGTGGATTAAATGAATAATCCGCATTCCACAGAGTAATTAATAACACGAAAGCAAGAAAGACACGTTTATAGTGGTTTATTCTAAATATGAGAGCTATGTCAATCGCCAGAGAAATGCACTATATTGAAAAGGACAATCACAAAGTATTTTGCAATCACATCACTATCTTCTCTCTACAATGACACACAAAAAGGAGGCTAATCGTAATACCTGTTATATAAGAGGAAAATATTAGGACGACCTAATACATGTGCATATTTTCTAAAGTATCATTATAACACTTAAAAATTTCGAAGAGGGGAAAAGTATATTAGGCTCCACATATCCAACAAAAGATTCATGTAGCCACCCTAAAATTATAAAAGGGGTTTAGTTTGCTGTTTGATGGAGCCTTTTTTTTAATATATATATATAAGTATTAGTGTTGGTGGGATGTGGGAGGTAAACTTTTTTCTTGTGAGTTGGGTTGTCAATCATATGCAGGTGACCCTCCTCCATCTAGAATGCAAATGCTAGAGCGACTTTATGGCATATAGAAAGGGATTGGGTTGAATAATCTGGCAGGTATTAATTTGAGGATAAATGAAAAATATTCACCTAGACATTCTTTAAAAGGCAGTGCTACTTAAATGAGAGAAAAAAAACAAGTATAAATAATAATCATTGGGCTAAGACAAATGACCCCCAAGTGGCGGCCGGTGGGGACTTTCGCACTGTTTCTGAGTTTACTTTCTATTGTGACTTGACCTCAACCCTTGACCAATTCTTCTATTTGAAATAATTTCAACAAACAATCTGAAATATATCGACTTTTTTTAGAACAAGTCAGTGCTTGTACTCTCCCTAGTGGAAACACAAGGAGAGGAAGAGAATTTTCTTTATTGGATAATGACCAAAAGAATTTTACTTTGTGGCTGTAGTAGATGGGTGGAGGAATATTATGGCAATATAATGATCAAAAGTGTAAAGGTATATGGTGCTCTGTAATTCTTCTGCTCCTGACAAATTAAATAATAATAAAGAATTACTCAAATTTATCTACTGCTTCGTGAATTTTGAAAATTACTTGGCATCATGTTACGAATTATACACATTTTCACCAGAAGCACCATTTCTGATCAGGTATGGCATCATTTTGGAGATCTTTCAAGTACCTATGAGATCAATTGAGAGAGTTAGATATCGGTTCCAGAGATGGAGATATTCGGGCCAGTATATTCCGAATGGACGTATTCACATTATCATTCCTCTATGTATATTTTGGTTCTTATGGATTGAAAGGAATGATGCAAAGCACAAGGAAATATGATAGAGCCTAGAAGGATCATTTGGAGAGTCACCACACGATTTCACTTCTCCATACGGGTCCCTTTTTTTTTTGGCTTGTTCATTGGCATGTTGACTTTGTTATCGTCTCACTTTTTGGTTTTTCTTTGACTCTTCCTCTCCCAGCACCCCCTCTATTGGTTCTTTGGTATACTCCACCAATAGAATTTTAAAGATCAACACCAATGTATCGTCAATGATGGTTTTATTAGAGGTGAGGCATTATTCGAGACCACGATGGACAATGCATTCTCGTCGTTATGTGGAGTCTATCTTATTCTAGAGGTTGAGTTACGGGCTATCTTGGATGGGATTTTACTTGCTCGACGACTTGGATTATTAGACGTTTGGGTGGAATCATTCACTGCATCACTAGGGGTGAAAGACCATGGGCAATTCAGATCATTCTTTCATTTGACAGTGACACTACTTCACACACTTATCGTGAGAAAAACTATGTTAACAATTCACTTACATCCGAGGATTGGGAGTGGCGCCGATATTAGGAGTATGGACCTCTTGTCCACAACGACTTCAATATTTTGTACAGATTGACAAATATGGGCTTCCTAGTATTAGACGATGTTAGTTTGTTTCTTATTTGCTTTCTTTGTATAGGAGATAGTATTTCTCCATTTATTTCATTTTTTCATATGTTGCATTATTTTGCTTTTAGGAGGTCAGATTTATGTCATTCTTCCTTTTGTTCCCATGAGCTTGATTTTATTTACAATTGGAGAATCCAAATTCCAAACCCCATTAGCCTTTCTTATTGTAATTTCAAAATCCATTGAGGCTGTGTTGATGTTTTGGTTAAAAATTATTACAAATTACACATAGGAGTCACACACTACAGTGCATATTTTGCGAAAATTATTTCGAATTGAGAAAAATAAAAACTCCTATCTTTTTTCGAGAACCGCTTAAAATTCCAACTAAAAAGGTAAAATGATCTTGCATTATCTCAATTGAAGTAATGAGCCTCCCCCATTCAACTCCTCATATTCCTTGAACGGATCTCTATGTTGTTGAGAAGAGATTAAGAAAAATAAAGATATTTATAGATTATTCTAATTTCTATATGCACTAAACTATTCCAACGGAAGGCGTTGAGACACAATTAATTGGACATTTAGGGGTAAAGCATTATTTTGTTGCAGGCCGCGAAAGCAGTACCAAATCGAGGCAAACTCTGTATAACAAAACTCATTCCTAAATTCGAGAAGATAACCTCCCCTTCTGAAAAACTTGGACAGAAAAACAAGATGGTCAGGAAATAGTGAGCTCGAAGTCGAGAGAGAGAGAGAGAGAGAGAGATTAGTTTGTAGAAAAAGAAACAGAATGAAAGAGGGTGATGGAAAATAAGGTGGAGAATAAAAAGAGAGAGAATTCTGTGATTAAAGGCATTTTAATTATTACACTATACGATATCAATTTTGTGTTAATATCTTGTTTGAATCCAAGTGCACAACATGTTCTCTTTTTCTCTTTACTTTATTGAACTAGGCCACAAGTTAGTTAATCCTTTTGTCAATGGTCCCCCCTTTGCTGAATTTATAGTTACATCTAGTCGAAGATCTTAGGCAATAAAACCCTTAACAACTACAACATGCCATGTAAAGTTTAGTCTACCCCTTCACTTTAGTTCTACGCAACATATATCGCAACTACCCAAGTCGACATTCCTATCATTTATCAATAATCACCACTACATTTAAGAGCGACCACATATCCATCGCTCAATCCTCATTTCTGCTACATTCATCTTATGGATATTTTGACCTTTAATACCCCAACACTCAGAGCAATGAAGTTGTACTAAACCTTTGGATGTACCTAAAGCTGTATCATATTAATATTCTCATAATTGAATATGTTAAGCTAGATTATCACTCAAGAAAAAGAAAATGATACTTTTCGGTGTCTAGTCCTTGATTAATGAAGAGATGAAACTTCTTGTATCCCATGGTTCGACTCTCCCAACACGATTTATCATTCTTCGAATACCACATGCTTATTCTTCACCACTTCTCCAGTTTTTTTTCCCTCACGGACGTACGAGTAAGAGAGTTTAGCCGATGAATCCAAAAAGTTGAGTCTTCTTATCATGCTGAGTAAGCCTTAAAACTAATAAAGGTTTGTGTCTGGCCGAGTGGAAAAAATGGAACAGGATAATGCATAAATATAAAAACCAATAACAGCAACTATAAATCAATCAAAAATGTCAATCTACACTCAGAAAACCAAACAATCTTCAATTGTGTGATTTACATTTTCAGAAAAATGAGTTCAATAATATTTCCCCGGTATAACGAGAATAGTTACTCTTTAATAGAACTATGATACACCATATTCCTCCCCATCATTATAAAATCGTTCTATAAATAACAAATTCAGAATGAAATAGACCAACAACATCAAATAATTAAAACAACCATAAGACAGGCCTTCACTGTGAATAACATAGGATTTGAGTCACCTGGAACAACAAGAATAGAATCCCTGAGTCTTCTCTGTTCCATTTGAGCCGTTATTAACAAGGGAAACTCGGTTGACTGATAATTCGGCTTTGTAGGAATCCGAATTCAAGACCTTCCTGCTGACTTTGTTATAAATCTCTTGGATAACAAGTTCAAAAGCCTTTTTAACATTTGTCGAATCCAATGCAGACGTTTCCATAAAAAACAGTCCTTCTGATTCTGCAAGGCTTTTGCACTCCTCCATACTCACTTCCCTAATGCTCTCCAAATCACATTTATTCCCGACAAGCATCCTTGCAACAGTTGTATCAGAATGAGCTGCATGATGAGTGGCTTTTTAGTTTAACTTCAAGAGGCAATAATATAATGTAATTTGAGATGGGTACAAAAGAGCGTAAAACTGGAAAATACCATAATGACATAATTCTCAAGAAGCATATAATACCAAAATATAATGTGCAAAATAAAAAATGAGAATGGAGAATTGAGAATCAAGATATATTGCATAGTGGAGGTGGTGCCAACTTGGTTGGTAGAGGCATGTTTTGCGCAAGACTTAAAGAGAACTATTAATAAGAGCGACATCATCTTGGTAGAACAAGTTAGAAGTGACGGGTAGACCAAAACTTACATAGCACATAGTAGTAATATATTAGGATCAAGTTTCTACAGAGGTTCAATAGATTTAACAGATAAACC